AGCCTCCAGCCGCGCGCGGAGTTCTTCTTCTCCGCCGCGCCGCAAATGCTCGGCCCCCCCGCGCGGCCACTTCCGTTGCGCTGGCGCTGGCGGCCAGCGCTCCGACACCCTGCGCGGGCGTAGATGCAGCCAGCGCCCCGACGCCTCGCGCGGACGTCGAGTGGGCCGCCTTGCGCGCGCAGCGGCTCCTCGCCGCAGCTGCTGCGAGGCCTCCACCAGGCAACCGTTCGTCCGCCGCCTCCGTCGCCTCGCCGCCCCCTCGCACATCCGCGAGGCAGGGGACAGCAGTGGTTAGTTTGGCTGCGCCCTAGCAACGGCGTGTTCATTCCTTTCGCCCGCCAACGCAGCTTCGCATCACCCGAACGCACGGGACGAGCACAAGATCGAAACCGATTTCCCAGTGGGGCGGTCTCCGTGTCACTGCGACCTCACCACCCAGCCTCCTATATATATATATATAGGATATATATATGTATATCCTATATATATATATATCGAGAGAGAGAGAGAGAGATAAAGAGAGAGAGAGAGAGAGAAAGAGATAACACATCATAATAAAAAACGAGCACGAGCGCGAGAGAGAGAGAGAGAGGGAGAAATAGAGAGAGAGAAAGAGAGAACAAAAAAGAGCGACATCACCAAACAGCCATGACATGCAACGAAGGACTGAGAGAGACGGAGTAGAGAGAACGATATTGAGAGCGAGGAAAGAGGAACAACGTGCATTTGTACGTATATGCACGCAGAAGGAAGAAAGTCGATAGAGTGATATCTGTATATATATATATATATATATATATAAATATATTTATGTACACGTATATTTAGATCGCGGAGGCGAGGGGGTGACATCGCACTGGGATGGAGAGACCTCCACCGGGAAATCGGTTTCGTTTTCGTGTTCGTGTCGTGCGTGCGGACGAGGCGAAGCTGCGTGGGCGCGCGAGAGGAATGATGCCGCTGTGGCATTGGGATGAGGAGCCGGTTGTCCGCCGCCCCCCTTCTTCGCGCGGTGGCGGGGGGTGTCCCGTCGGTGGCGCGGCGGTGTCCCGTCGGTGTCCCATCGGTGGCGCGGCGGTGTCCCGTCGGTGGTGCAGGGTGTCACGTCGGTGGCGCGTTGTGTCCCGTCTGTTGCGCGGCGGTGAGATCGATTGTGAGATCGATGGTGAGATCGATTGTGAGATTTGTTGTCCGATCGATAGTGAGATTTGTTGTGAGATCGATAGTGAGATCCGTTGTGAGATCGATCTTGGGATCTGTTGTGAGATCGATGGTGAGATTACTTGTGAGATCGATCGCGGGATCGACAGTAGGATCGATCGTGAGATTCATCGGGAGATCGATCGGGAGATCGATTGCGAGACCGATCGTGAGATCGATGGTGGGATCGATTGTGGGATCGATAGTGAGACCGTTAGTGAGAGCTGATGTGAGTCAGAATGTGAGACCGATAGTGAGTTCGATGGTCAGATCGATTGAGAGATCGATTTGGAGGTCGATTGTGAGATTTGTTGTGATATCGATGGTGGGATCGCTTGTGAGATCGATAGTTGGTTTGATTGTCAGGTCGATTGTGCGATCGATTTCGAGATCGATCGTTCGATCTGATATGTGATCGATTGTGAGATCGATCGTGAGATCGATTGTGAGATAGATCGTGAGATCGGGTGTGAGTTCGCTAGTGAGATCCTTTGTGATATCGTCTGTTGTGAGATGGTGGGATCGCTCGTGAGGTCTATAGTGGGATCGACCGTGAGATCTGCTGTGAGATCGATTGTGAGATCGATTGTGCGATCGATTGTGGGTCCGATCGTGAGATCGATGGTGCGATCGATTGTGAGATTGAATGTGTGACCTGTAGTGATCGTGAGAACTGTTGTGAGATCGACCGTGAGTCCGAATTTGAGATCGATAGTGGGTTCGATGGTCAGATTGATGGTGAGATGGATTTTGCAATCGACTCGTGAGAACCATGGTGCGATCGATTGTGAGAAGATAGTGAGACCGATCGTGAGAACTGTTGTGATATCGATAGTGAGTCCGAGTGTGAGATCGATAGTGCGTTCAATGGTCAGATCGATGGTGAGATCGATTGGGAGATCGGATGCTAAATCTCTTACGCCTGAGATCGGTCGTGGGATCGTTTGTGACATCGATAGTGAGTCCGACCGTAAGAGCGATAGTGAGATCGATTGTGCAATCGATAGTCAAATCTGTTGTGAGATCGATCGTCAGCTAGATTGTGAAGTCGATAGTGATATTTGTTGTGCGATCGAGAGTTTGATCGATGTGAGATCAAATGGATGAGACGTTGGTTCCCCCTCCCCCTTTCCGAGCCTTCATCTCACCCGAAGGGTGGTCGTATAGGTATAACTGGAGAAACAGGAGAGATAAAGACAGAGAGAGAGAGAGAGCGAGAGAGAGAGAGAGAACGAAACATATTATAACTAGACCAGAATACAATGCATTTCCGAATGAGAACTGGCCGGGAGGAAGGTCGATCGAGGTACCTGCGACAAATTCAGACATTCATTGTTTTTTTGTTCTCTCTGTTTCTCGGTTTATAAAAATATGTTTAGGGACATTCGATCTCGACATCGCTACGAAACGTAAGGTTTGTAAAGGATTTCGGCATGCGCGCTCGACGATGTGCGCGTGTGCGCACTTCGTCCCATGTCTTGCATTGGAGTACCGAGCATCGTATTTTTGAAGATGGAAAAAGTGTGCGCGCATGGTACTCTGGCAAAGGATGGGAGGGGGGGTCGATACCTGTTTGGCTGGGATTATATGCATTAAACTTTAGAGTGAACGGTGGGGCAACATCATACGTAAATTGCACATCCCTGGGGGGGGCGCATAAATCCAGCCTCGGGACGGTGGTGGATCTGAATTCTTTTTTGAACGGAGAATCTAGGAGGCGACGGGGCGGCGGCAGCGACCACGAAGCCGCCAGACCGGCAGCCCGGCCAAGACGACGGGCGGCGACGAGGCGGCGACGGGGCGGCGACGGCGACCACGGAGCCGTCAGACCGCCTGACAGGCCCAGACGACGGGCTGCGACGGGCCCGTAGCGACGGCGACCACGGAGCCGACGGATCGCCAGAGGCCCAGTTCCTTAGAAAAGTAAGAAGCCCTAAGTGCAGCAAGCAATGCTTGGGGAATAAGGATTGCCCGCCAGGGAAGGCTGAGAATGAGGGCGATGAGAAGGACGAGGAGTTGCAGGATGAGCGCGAGGCGAGAGTTTGGATGTCAGATCGTGTTGAACGTGCTGAGTTTGAGGGCTCGGGCGCCGCGCCCGAGTCTGCCTGATCGCCAGCTGTGAGCGCAGCCTGGGCTAGCGACCAGCCCCTAAGCCAGGAGGCAATGAATGGAGAGCAGCAGCAGGATGAGGATGAGGACAAGGCCGAAATGCGGGCAGCTATTCCTGTGGGGATACGGAAGAGACAGATGGAAGAGAGAGAGAGAGAGAGAGAGAGAGCGAGAGAGAACAACAGAGGGGGTTGAAGGAGGAAAAGGATATGGAGGAGGACGAGAAGGAGGACGTGAAGGAGGAGGAGGAGGAGGAGGGCAGGGGAGGAGGAGAGGAGCAGGAGGCGGAGGAGGAGGGGAGGACGATGGGGAGGAGGATGCTGATGATTGATGATGATGATGATGTGATGATGATGATGATGATGATGATGATGAGGAGGAGGAGGGGAGGAGGAGGAGAGGAGGAGGAGGAGGAGGAGGAGGAGGGAGGAGGAGGAGGAGGAGGAGGAGGAAGAAGGAGAGGGAGATTTGGAGGAGGGAGGAGGAGGAGGAGGAGGTCGGGTGAGGAGGAGTTCGAGGGGGGAGAGGGGAGGAGGATTTGGCGTAGTAGGAGGGAAGCAGGAGGAGGAGGGTTGAGGGGGACGGGGGTGGATGAGGATGAGCTGGAGGAGGAGGAGGAGGAGGAGGAGGAGGAGGAAGAGGAGGAGGAGGAGGAGGAGGAGGAGGATCTGGAGGATATGGAGTTTGAGGGGGAGGTACGCATGTTCTTCTGAGCAGAGTATGCAGAAGCGCCTGTCAGCCGTTCTCCTGCCGAAGCACGACCTCGGCCAACATAGTGTCAGGAGCGGGGTCGTTACAGACTCGTCACGCACACAGGAGTCAGCAGCCCCGCACAGGTGTCAGGCGTACATAGTCTGAGGTCAAGAGTTCCAGTGCAGTTGCAGCAGGGATCGCGTGGCAGCCCAGGGTGTCGATTCGAATGTGGAGGCTATGTGCGCGATGCGTCCAGGCAGTGCGCAGTGCCCGAGGATGGAGTCTGGATGCCATTTGAGCGCGTTCCAGAATTTGGAGTACGGTTGGGGCGATGGTTAAGAAATGTGCCCAGGAGGCTTCTGACCCTGAGGGGATTCCTTGGGGCGGCAGTGATGTCCATGGTCCATCCGCGATTGGAGTTCTCCACCGGCCTCGAGACCCTGGATTCCTTATCCACCGGTCCCTTATCCAATGGCTCAGCCGTTATCCCACAGGTGGGGTTCATCACGCCATCTCACGTTGGCTTCACGTCACATCCCGCAGTCGTGCGGACTCCGCCCGCGCGACCGCAGCAGACCCGCCCGGCGAGTGCGCGGGCCCTGCCCGCGGGTGGAGCGTCGCGTGCTGCCGTCTCGGGCAGCGATCCCCGGTGCTTGCGCAGCGAGCTGCAGGATCTGCATCGTTTTTTTTCGGTGGTCGGACCAGCGCGCACAGACTCGCTGGGCATCTTCGCCAGGTGCATCCAGAAGCCCAGAGCCGAGCGTTATTTCGTATCTGCACCTGGGCTCCCGCGCTGATTCCTTGCGCGAGAAAAACACACGAAGACGGACCAAGAGGCTCCCAAAACGGCCCCAAGAGGGAACCAAAAGGGCCCCACGAGGAATCCGAAGCTACTTTGGTTCAGGCAAGTCGAACTCGAGCGTCCTGTTTTCACAGACGCTCCTCTGCGCAGGCAGAGCCAATACCCTCACGCATTGCCCAGCTGTCCGTGAGCAGAAATGTGCTCGAGGCTTGCCATGTCGCTGAAGGTGAAGAACACGTTCCTCGTTGTGGACGAACAGTCCATCCAAGACGAGGACGAGGATTCGAACTCCGAAACGATCTGGCGCCGAAGGGCGACGGCGCCGGCCGCCACAGGGCTTCGCATGACGCAGTCCTTACCGAACTCGCCTCGCCTGGGCGCCAGCGCGAAGGCCGACATCTCTGATGCCACCTCTGTGGGCGACACCGAGGGGACCGAGAGCAAGGCGGCGGGATATGATACCCCAGAGGAGTTCCTCGACGAGTGCCAGTCGGAATTCGGCCAGTGCTGGTCGGCCTCGGCTGAAGACGCGATGAACTACAGCGTGGCAGACCCGTGCGTTTGGCAGGGCTGGATGATCTCAAACATGGTGCCGTTCGACATGCATGGCCTTGGCGATGGTCTGTGTACCCCGGCGTGCGCCCCACATGAGGCGGAGGAGCCTGGGGTCTGGGGAAGCGAGGTGACGCTGATGATGCGGAACGTTCCGAAGAAGCTGACGCAGCATGCGCTCCTGGAGGAGATCAACTCGAGAGGCTTCGCGGGCACCTATGATTTTGTGTACCTCCCGATGGACCAGGACTCGAATATCAATCGAGGTTACTCCTTCATCAACTTCGTGGACCCTGCATATGCCGCGGCATTCAAGGCCCTCTACGAGGGCCGCCAGCTCAGCCAGTACAGCTCCCGGAAGGTCATTGCCATCCTCCCGGCGGTGCTGCAGGGCTTCGAGGCCAACCGGGCGCACTTCTCCACTGCGCGCGTGTCCCGGGAGGATCCGGGCGCGCGTCCCCTGTTCCTCCGGGAGCCGCCGACGCCTGCGAAGCAGTCGGAGGTGCCCGAGAAGTGCCGAGCGCCCCGCGCCGAGGGCACTGCCTCGAAGTCGGCGGCGTCCTCCCTGGAGGCGCGGCCGCGGCACGAGCCCGGGGCGCCCGCGGGCAGGTCCTGCGCGGCGTCGGCCTCGGTCGGCGAGGCCCGAGGCGCGGCCAGGCGAGACGAGTCCAGGGTCAAGTTCTGCCCGTACTGCGCGGGCCGGGTGGGGGAGGGCTTCAAGTTCTGCCAGTACTGTGGCGAGTCCCTGAGCCTGCAGGGGCTCTGAGAGCGGCTCCGTCCCTCCGAATAGCGGGGGCGAGCGCGTCCCGTGGGCGCTGGGGGAGGGGGGGGGGGGCTCGAACCAAGGGTGGGCCCCCCCTGAGATGCAAGGGGGGCGGGGGGGGGTTGAACTGGGGGGGGACCCCCTGAGTCGCAAGGGGGGGGGGTGTTCGAACCGGGGGGGTGGGCCCCATGTCAAAGGGGGGGGGGTCGAACTGGGGAAGGCCCCCCTCCCCTTGTACCAGGGGCGGAGGGGGATTCGAACCTGGGGGGGGTGGGACCCCCCTGTTCTGTCCAAAGGGGGGGGTTCGAACGAACTGGGGCAGAGGGACCCCCACCCCTCGACCCCGCCCTGCAACCGACGATCAGCCGGCGCCGGCGCCGGCGCCGTCGGGCAGCGACGACGACGACTCGATGACGACGACGACGACGACGCCGTCGACCGCGACGAGGACGCTGGCGCTGGCGCCGTCAGGCAGCGACGACGACGATGGCGACTACGACGACGACGACGACGACGACGACGACGGCGACGACGACGACGACGGTGGCGGTGGCGTCGGCGGCGGCGGCGGCGACGGCGACGGCGACGGCGACGGCGACGGCGAGGACGACGACGACGACGACGACGAAAACGACCGCGACGACGACTCGATGACGACGACGACGTCGACGATGACGAGGACGCTGGCGCTGGCGCCGTCGGGCAGCGACGACAACGACGACGACGACGACGACGGCGGTGGCGGCGGCGGCGATGGCGGCGACGGCGACGGCGACGGCGACGACGACGGCGAAGGAGACGGCGACGACGTCGACGACGACTGCGACGATGACGACGGCGACAGCGACCGCGACGGCGACGACGACGACCACGACGACGGCGACGGGGACGACGACTCGATGCCGACGACGACGACGACGACGACGGCGACGACGACGCTGGCGGCCGTCGGGCAGCGACAACGACGACGACGGCGACGATGACGACGACGACGACGGCGACGACGACGACGACGACGTCGGCGGCGGCGACTGCGACGACGAGGACGCGCACAGGGCCCCCCCGTATGAGTTGCAGGGGAGGGGATTCGAACTGGGGGGGAGGCCCCCTGCTGCAACTGACGGCGACGGCGACGGCGCCGGCGCCGGTGCCGCCGGGCAGCGACGACGACGACGACCACGACGACGACGACGATGACGACGACGACCAGCGACGACGACGACGACGACATCGACGACGGCAACGGCGGCGACGGCGACGGCGACGGCGACGGCGACTGCGACGGCGACGACGGCGACGACGACGACGACGAGCGACGACGGCGACGACGACCTGCGACGAAGACGACGACGACGACGGCGACGACGACGACGACGACGGCGACGGCGAGGACGATGACGATGGCGGCGATGACGACGACAACGGTGACAGCAACGGCGGCGACGGCGACGGCGACGGCGACGGAGACGTCGACAGCGACGACGGCGACGGCGACGGCGACGACGACGATGCGCACAGGGCCCCGCCTCCCCTTAAGTTGCAGGGGGGGGGTTCGCACCAGGCGGGCCCCCCTGTTGTAACCGACGACGGCGAGCGCCGTCGCCTGCGCTAGCGCCGTCGGGCAGCGACAACGACGACGACGGCGACGACGACGACGACGACGGCGATGACGACGGCGACGGCGACGGCGACGGCGACGGCGACGGCTACGACGACGACGAAGTCGACGTCGACGTCGACGTCGACGACGACGACGACCGTGACAGCGACGGCGACGACGGCGACGACGACGACGACGACCGACTACAACGACGACGACCACGACAACGACGACGACGACGGCGACCGCGACCGCGACGATGACGACGACGACGGCGACGACGACGACGACGACCACGACGACGACGGCGATGGCGACCGGCGACAAGCGTCGACGACGGCGACGACGACGACGACGACGACGACGACGACGACACCGACGACTGCGACGGCGGTGGCGACGGCGACTGCGACGGTGACTGGCGACGACGACGACGACGCGCTGAGGATGGTGCGAGGAGGCCCGGTCGGATCCCCCTCTCGCTCTCAGACTCCCCCCTTTCGAACCCCCCTCCGTCCCACTTGCCACTCTGCGGGGCGGGCTCCCCTCCAGTTCGATCCCCCCCCCTTCTGGTTCGAACCCCCCTTCCCCTGTGCAACTCAGGGGTTGCGGGGGGCCTTTCCCCGGTTCGAACCCCCCCCCTCTCCTTTGATCAGGCGGGGCCCCCCTCCAGTTCGACCCCCCCCCTTGAGGGAGGGCCCCCCTCGGTTCGGGAGGCTGGTGTCCAGGAGGGGACCACCCCCCCGTTTTTCATGGGACGCGCAAAGTTTTAGGGCCCCCACCCCCTGGTTCCAACGTGTCGCGGTGTTTTTGTTCCAGGCAAGCGTCCACGAAACGCGTTCTCTAGAATTGTGGAATCATCTTCTCCTCAGCAGGTGGCGCCGTCTCTTGGTAGACGAGGCTCTTGTCATTTCCCACCTGCGCGCCGTAATTATAGTGTGAGTACACCTCATCTGCGAATTGCTCTCGGCGTTGTTCACTTTCCTTCCTCTGGTCCAGGCGGCTGGTGTGTGCCGCCACCTGGACTTCCGCATTGCGGCTTAAGAGGCTCAGGATGTCTAGCCGGGGCTTCGAGACGGGTTGGCGAATACGCGCCTGTCCTCGCTGAGTCCGCTGTCTTTCTCCACGTCGTGGTGCTGCAACCTGCATCTTGCTATCCAGGAGCAGGGGCGCTGCTCCGTCAATATTTCTATGTCCACGCAGGCAGCACAGCGGCACAGTGGCCTGCTAGCGGAGCTTATTTAAGACGGTCTGCCTCACAAGGCTACGTCGAGGTGGTGGACGCTCAGGTATCCCACCCGAGGGCCTGGGTGGGCTCGTCAACCAGGGGTGCTTTTGGACTACGCACGCGGCCGGACCATCCAGTGCTGGTTGTGATGTTGTTAGTTCGCATGGTAATTATTGTATTTTGAAAAAAGGCCCCACCGGGAGTCTTGGGGGATATCTCAAAAGTCCGGCTTTCAACAAGCCTCCAAGACCCCCTGGACGCAGCCATGAATTCCCCCAAAGCCTCAATCAGGGCCCCGAGAAGCCCCCAAGACTGCTTCAAGCGGGTGCCCTGACCGCCCCACCAGGATAGTTTGGGGGCTATTTCAAGGCCTTCAGCCCATCCCGCCGCCATACTTGGGTTGTGGGTCTGAGGCCTGTTGGATGGTCGTTAGGACTTCGTCGAGGCCTCTCGGGGGCCTCCTGGAGGCAGTTTTGACGCCTCTGGGTTGTTTTGGGGGGCCTCTTGGGGGCCTGTTGGGGCCTCTTGGGAGCCCCTTGGGGGCCTCTTGGGGCCTCTTGGGCGCCTCTTGGGGCGGAAGGCTCGGACTTTCGGTTCGTGTTCCCCCTCTTGGGGCCGCCTTGGGGCCCTCTTGGGTCGTATTAGGCGCCTCTTGGGCCGTTTTGGTGTATTTTAGGAGGCCTCTGGGGCCGTCTTGTGGCGGTCTTGAGGGCCTCCTGAGACGTCTTGGAGCGTCGGAGAGCCGAAAAGGCGAGAAGGTCCCGAACCTTCAAAAACAAACGGGGAATCAATGATTTCCGTGTTGGGGCCCTCTCGGAACGCCTCTTGGAACACTCTTGGGGCGTCTTGGGGGCCTCTTGGGTCGTGTTGAGACCATCTTGGGCATATTGGGGCGATCTTTCGGCAACGCGGGGGCCTCTTGGACCGTTTTGAGGGCCTTTAGGGGCCCCATGGGTTCGTCTTAGAGCCCTGGGCCCGCAACAAGTAACGCGAGGGGATGCGGGAAGCCCCCGACAAGCCGCGGCAAGTCCGGGGAGACTTGGCAATTTGGGAGTCCAGGCCCTTCAAGGCTCTTCAGGCTTCAGGACAGAGGCTTAAGAGATAAGGCAAAGGACCAGACGGCACGCCCACTCCGTGCCCAGTTGCACGGTGGCGGATCTTCTGGGGTGCGGCTCTTAACATGCTCTCTGACCCCCTCCTGGCACTTCCAAGAAGGTCAAAATAACCAATCCGACGCTCTCGAGAAGCTCTCCGAAGCGTCCGAAGGCTTAGCCGAGTCTCTCAGCAAGCTCCCCAGACGCAACATGCACTCATGCTCTACATCTACAGGTTTTGGACTGGTTTCAGCGTTCTCGCCTTGTTCGGTGTTCGCCTGCCGGCAATTCCCCCACGGGCTTCCCAGATCTCCCCAGTTATCCCAACAAAGCGGGCCCCAAGAAGGTCTCCATACGGCCTGAGAGGGCCGCAAGATGGTTGAATCACCCCCCCAAGACGACCCTATCTCTAGACGGCCCTACCGCCCCCAGACGCTTGCAAGAAGCCCCAGGCGGCCACCGAAGAGCCCTGAGAAGCTCAACCGAAGAGGCTTTGAAGAGGCTCCCAAGATGGCCCCACGAGGCTCCTCCGAAGCACGCCCAGACGATCTTCAAGATATTTCAACATGCTGCCAACATGTACCTCACCCACAGCCCAGGCACGGTGGTGACGGGATGGTCCGACGGAGAGCGGCGGGGAGACAGAGAGAAAGGGATGTACATACATGCGCATCTGATGTATGTCTATGCACATATCTATAGACGAGCACACATATATCGATGGGGGATATTCAGCGTATACATACACAGAGAGAGAGAGAGGGAGAGAGAGAGAGAGAGGGAGCGGAGCCTCTGTATATGCATGTATGCTTATTTACACGTATATATATATATATATATATATATATATATCGGAGTGTATATATATATATATATATTTATATTCAGTCATACACATAGATCTGCATATGTGCTACTTCTGTACGCGTATATATACACATATATGTACACACACATCTAGTGAGAGAGCGAAAGGGGAGAGGAAGGGAGGGACGGAGGGAGGATGGGAGGGCCACGCGCACATATGTGATTTTCCAGGTGCCTCTCTCGCTATATGTATATATATTACATATATTTACAT